CCCAAATGGTGAGGTGAAGGGAATAGGGTCTCAGTTGTTTTGTCCCAGAGGACCTTCTTCATTTTCTGTGGGAATGTGTTTTCCATTCTATCACCCAACTCTGTTCCATGGCATAACAGGGACCCAACAAAGGGTTGTATTCTTATTTCTTATCATTAGGACATCAAAGGCCAGTTCTGGAATGATGATGATTCGGAGGGAGATAATGAATCAGAGGAATTTCTCTATGGAGTTCAGGTGAGATTACATCCCCCCTAAGACCCATTTTGGATGATCTAAATGTGGGTCTCTGGATACATCAGGAGAGAAAGATAATTCTGGAGCAGAGATAAGAGGATACAATGTTGGTTTGGTCTGAGCATTGTCTTGTCAGTTTGTCTTAATATACTTGCTTTTGCCTGGGACTGATACTTTCCCCAGAATAAACTACATCCTCTGTATGTAGAGGCTACCCATAGTTTCTGAGCTGAAAATATGTATTTTCTGACTTTTCCCTTACTAGCCATTGGGGGTGGGGTGGGGTCCTTGCACTCATTAGCTGCCAGTGATTGCTTATGCCATCCCTACCCAGGACATGGTGCTGTGTAGGAATGTTGGACTTTTCAGACAGAACCAGTCTGAGTTAAATTAAAAAATCTTCAGCCTATTCTGAGTTCTCAGAACGGATACCTAAATATACTTGTCAAGGTCTGAGAGGAAAAGCTGGAGACCTAAGAATGTGGACTTAAGCAAAGCCTGCCATTGTGTACTGAAACTTCATAGAGATGATGAGGGAGGGGGGCTTGTCTGTCAGCGAAGTCCCCAGCTAGTGCTGCCGCCAGGAGTTCCTCCATGTGAGCAGCTTTTTGTTTATATGCACTGCTGCTGTTTGATTTTCCTGTTCCTAGTGTTCTTAATGTTCTTTTTATTTTTCATCTCTCTTTCCTCCTTTCTTCCCCCTCTGTCCGCCACTTTTGCTGCTGACTCAGGGGAGCTGTGCAGCTGACCTGTATCGACACCCACAGCTTGATGCAGACATTGAAGCTGTGAAGGAGATCTACAGTGAGAACTCTGTATCCATCAGGTGGGACTCCACTTCAGGGATGGCAGGGGAGCAAGCCACTTCTTTCTGAGTTGTTAAAAGGCTAGAAGATTTTTCTTTTTATGGTAAGGTAGGGGATTTGTGGACCTTGGTAAATTATGAGCTTAATGATAGTGAGAGTTGCCCAAAATCCTTAAGCTTGGCTGACAGGAGTCTCTAAGGGAGTATGGCCACTTTGCTAGAAGTTCCCTCTTATCCTAGACCCCTCTAAGGTCGATGATTTCACCTTTGAGGTAAGAAAGGCTTCTGGCCTAGAGAAGGCCCTGATATTATATAAGTGGCTTGAGGCTGCAGCTAAGATTCTAGATACAGACCTGCCTTCCGCCCTTCCCTCTTCCCTGGCCTTAGGCCCAGCTCTCCCTGTCTTTGTTACCTTCTTTCTCCCTTAGTCAGTCTCACCTGTGGTCTCTTGTATCTCTATAGAGAATATGGAACTATCGATGACGTGGACATTGACCTCCACATCAACATCAGCTTCCTCGATGTAAGTGGTGCTAATACCTGTCAACAACATGTCTAGCCATACTTGTGGATTTTGTCATGGAGGCTAGGAGTTTTGTTCCTGAGTGCTGTATTTGGAGCACATCCCTATCTTCCCTAGGCCGTTAGTAGACAGTGGTGTGTACTGTCATGTGTATGTGTGTGTCATAGGGAAAACTTAAAGTCCGTTCCTCTCTGTTGCTAAAGTGGAAACTATTTCCCTTTCTCTTGTAGGAGGAAGTTTCTACGGCCTGGAAGGTCCTCCGGACAGAACCTATTGTGTTGAGGCTGCGATTTTCCCTCTCCCAATACCTTGATGGACCAGGTAGAGGCCATGACTTTGGGCAAGTGGGTGCTCTTGAGTGTGGTCTAGTCCAAAGTCCTCAGTTACCTGAGAGGAAAAACTAGGAACATGGCCCTTAGGTATAATCTTTAGATCATTGGTAAGGGCAGTTCTGTCTCCTGTCATTGGTGTCTTCATTCCCTGTCACCTGTTACCCATCCCCTAAAGGCCTTGTTGGTTAATGAAATTGTTTTCTCTGGCTCTCAGGTAGTATTTACCCCTTTCCTTCCCCTCACCTTCCCACAGAACATTATTTGAAATTGGTCAGATAGCTCCTGGAATCTATTCTCTGTCTCAGTCAGATGCTTTCCTTCTCCACCATTATTGTTTGGAATACCCTTAGAATCAAAGGAAACTAGTCCACTGCACTAGGGCCGTTAGACACCCAGGAGGATAGAGACGTGAACATTCTAGGAGCTTTCTCTTCTCTTTGCAGAACCATCAATTGAGGTTTTCCAGCCATCGAATAAGGAGGGGTTTGGGCTGGGTCTTCAGTTGAAAAAGTAAGAATTTTTGTCTTTCTGGTTATGAACATATGAGGGAAAGAGAGAGAACTGTGGATGAATAGGCAGACCCTTGAATGGAATATTTCTTTTCAAAATGTCTCTCTGAGATATTCCCAAGAAAGATTAAAATAAATTTGTGGGGCAGATTTATGGTTAGGTTAGGGGGCTTGTGGTTCTGGGGGTATTTGGCCTCAAGATTTCCTGGAGGTAAGAGGAGAGGCTCATCAGTACTTGGCATTTAAGGAAAAGTACAAGCCTGGAATTAGAGTCATGCTGTTCACATTACCTCTTGTGGTTTCCTGGGAGTTGGGCTCTAGGAGCTCAGATGGTTTGTTCTAAGTTTATTGAATGTGTTGAGCAACTGCTAAGCTTTGGTATACGAAGAGAAACGAATTACAAAGCCTACTCTCAGTGAAGTCCCAAACAGAGTCCAGTGGATACATGTTCTAATACAAGTGAATACGTAAGACTGAGAAATAACACAGAAAAGGTGTGACTCAGTCTGATAGCAGGTGGAGGGCTATGAATGAATGAATGAAAGGGAGATGATTCATGGTTCTCAAGGATGGGTAAGAGATGCCGATATAGACCAACTCTGAGAGTAAATACATTTGCAGGGGCACAGTCAGACGAACCAGCACATGTGTAGGAAGCTTTAAGTTGTTAAATATTGCCAGTAAAATGCAAGGAGAGTGTGGTAGGAACTGAAACCAGAGGAGGAAGGGGTCCAAATCAGAGACTATCCTGGGTTTTTATCTTGTAGGCAGTGGGACCATTGAAAGGATTTAGGCAAAGAGAGGACATGGTCACATTTAGCTTTAGAAAAAACATTCTGATAGTATTGTGCAAAGTAGATAGGAGAGGGTGAGACAAGAGACCAGAATTAGTTTAGCAGGAAGCTTTTGTAGAAGCCTAGACATGAGATGATGAGGGACTGAACCATAGTAGGACTGTTGGTGAGAATAGAGATGAGAGATTAGAGAAATTTGTGAGGTATAAATTCAATAAGACTTGAAGACTGGTTTAGATATGTTGTATTTCGTCATAAGAGCCAAGGAATAGTGAAAAATTACTCCCTGGGTTTCCAGCCTAAATGTCTGGGTAAATTGTAGAACCAATTTAAATAGGGATTTAAGAAGAGGAGCAGGTTTGTGGGATGAGGATAGATTATTAGTTCCACTGGAAACATGTTGGTCAAAAGTAATCTCAAGATATCCAAGTAGAGATACTAAATACATTGTTAGGTATGTAGATTTGTTACTTACAGGAGAGATTAGGTATGTACGGGTGTATGGGTGGAAATTAAAACCAGATCAGGTATATACACATATCAGTGTATGGGTGGAAATTAAAACCAGTGTGGAATATGAAATTGCTAAGGGACAGCATTATAGAATGAAAAGAAGACAGGATCAAGGGCAAGACACCTTTAACACTCAGACAAAATACTTAGGAAATGAGCAGTCAGAAGAAGAAACCCTGAAAGTAGGTCATAGATGTTTTAGAAGAATGGGAAGAGAAGGTGTCATAGAAGGCAAGGAGAGTTTCTGCAAGGAGGGCAGGTGCCAGAGAGGATAAGAGGAGAACTTAGGAATTTCTGTTGGGTTTGGCATCAGGGTGAGAGCAATTGTAGCAGAGTGGTGAGGGCAGAAACCGGAAGTACAGTAAGTTGTGAAATGAGTGGTTGGCAGTGGAGTAAAAACACTTAAGTGTGGATTGAGAAATTTGGTTGAGGATGGGAGGCTAAGAAGGAGAGGTAGCTAGACTGAGGTGCAGAAACTTGAGTGTTTTTTTTAGACCTTGGGAAAGAACTGACAGGAGAGGGAGATGATTGAGGGATCAAGATCCCCAAAAAGGTAAGAAGGGGCTGAGATCTAGAGCACGAATAGAGGAATTAATCCTTATTAGGAGAGTCACCTTGTCTCCAGAGAAAGGAAGAATCAAGGTAAGGGTGGAAATGAAAACAGATTCTGCAGTAGGATTGGAAAATTAAGGGAGCTGATATCTGATGGTTTCAGTTTTCTCTATTAGGAAGGAAGAGAGGTGAAGTTAGGAGCTTAAAGAAGATGATAAGGACTTAGAATAATAGCTTATGCTAGAGAGAACTGATGAAGGACAAAGAAAGGATTGACTCAGTCTGATAGCAGGTGGAGGGCTATGAATGAAAGAATGAAAGGGAGATGATTCATCTCAAGTTGGAAATCATAAATTTGGGGATGTAGTATTTTGCCTAACAGTGTCAGTACCCCTCATGTCCCTAGTCCTTTTCTTTACTATTCACAAGGCAGAAGATGGTACTCACCTCCATCCCACTACTTCTGTTCCACTCTCAGTATAGTTATTCCTGGCAAGAAATTCCAACGTTCACAGCCTTTAAAGACTCACCTTTGGGATCACCCTCTAAAAGAAAAGTATCTCAGCATCTTTCTGATACGTTAGGTAATGATAGTAGATATTTATCCCCTCGGGTAAAGAGATACTTTAGGGCAGTCCATTTCCATGTGCTAGAGTCATTTCAGGGGGATCTTTCGACATACTTTCCACTACCACAATTAGCTTTGCAGTCCCTGGGTCTGAGTTTAGGGTAGTTACTTGTTAGTCTTATTTCCTGATCGACTCCCTTTTTTGAGCTTTCCTAAGCCTGTTTGTTCTCTTTGATTCCTTAGGATCCTGGGTATGTTCACATCTCAACAATGGAAACATCTCAGCAACGATTTCTTGAAGACCCAGCAGGAGAAGAGACACAGTTGGTTCAAGGCAAGTGGCACCATCAAGAAGTTCCGAGCCGGCCTCAGCATCTTCTCGCCCATCCCCAAGTAAGTGCTTTCCTATGAGTCGATTGTCTCTTAATTACCTTTATCTTATCTTTCTTTATTCCCTCCCTCCACCCTATTTCAACCTTTATCTTGTCTTAAACCCCTACCCCACCTTCTTGATTACCTAAACTTATCTATTCTGTCCTCTCCTTAGGTCCTCTGAGTTCTGGACCTTTAACTACTAACATCATTACATGGTCCTGTCCCCTATGTGTGCTTTACTTCTACTCCTGACCCCAATATTCATACTGCGTCCTTTATATAAAACACAACACCTAGGTTATGGTATATATGTGGAGAAGTGTATGCTAATCTCTCCATCTTTCCTTTGTTTGACCCTCAGCCTTATTCTGTATCTTAGGAAGGCATCCTTATTTCTTATCCCAACAGGCGTCAACTGCTTGCTTGTAAACAAGGGTACATTGATTTATTACCTAAGTTCTGGAAATAAATATAGCTCTATTTTTTGACCCCAGGCTTATATCCCTTCCCTCTTCTCACATTGCGATCTTCCCAAAGGCAAATACAAACCTAGATTTGTAGCTTTCCAGGCACTATTGTTTACAGGCAGTCAGACATTAGGCCCTCTGGGATGAAACTACTGCTTGCCTAATTCTGTGTTTAGCACTTAATCATATGTATATAAACATACACAGATATTGAGTATATGAGACAGACATCCTTTCCAAGGGATCATTCTATACCTGATGTTGCAGAGAATGACCTAAGCTTTGCCTTTGCCTACCCTTCATGTTTTTATCTGAAGAACACACAAATAATGTCATAAAATTCAATTTAGGGGCGTGATCTATTTGTTTTAACAGTATTTAAGATCCAGTGGAACTTCGCTCAGATATAAGTTCCTCTTTGGTGTAAGTAATTTAACCCATCCTTGTCTAGGGCCCGTTTGTCTCCAGTCTTCTTCTAGGGCTCATACTAAATCCCTAGTTTCACTACTTCTCTTTGTTCTTTCTCCAGGTCTCCCAGTTTCCCTATTATACAGGACTCCATGCTGAAAGGCAAATTGGGTGTACCAGAGCTTCGGGTTGGGCGCCTCATGAACCGTTCCATCTCCTGCACCATGAAGAACCCCAAGGTGGAGGTGTTTGGCTACCCTCCCAGCCCCCAGGCAGGTCTCCTGTGCCCCCAGCACGTGGGCCTCCCTCCCCCAGCACGGACCTCTCCTTTGGTACATGGGCTGGTGAGGGTTTGACTTGGGTGTCAGGAGGGTGTGGAAACGTGAGAGTATAGCTTTCAAAATGGGGTGGGAGTATGGTTTTCCAGGCATATAAATCAAACCTGGGCGTATACCATGAGTGGGTAGAATGGAACACATTTTTTAATGGATGAAAACTCACACCTAAACTGTCAACTTCTCTGAAGTAGGCCATGAAGCAGAGAGGGTGGGTTTGGGCATCCCAAAGAGATGTTTTGTGTGGTTTTATTAGGCAGTGGTTAGGACTTAGTAATCAGCTGCTGTACTAACCTGTTCTACCTACCTTGAAGAAGGCTAACGATAAGTGAGTTCTTTTCAAGAACTGTTACTAAAAATGTCCAAATGTCTTCTCTCCAGCTTTTATTTTGCTTAGTCTGATTGGAGCTAAGCTTTAGATAATTCAGGAGATGCCTAGGTGATGGACATGAGTGAGCTCTGTCTGGGCACAAGCTTCTTAGGAGGCTCATACGGCCTTTTTATTCCCATCAGGTCAGTGGTCACTGCAAGAACATCCCCACACTGGAATATGGATTCCTTGTCCAGGTATTCAAATCCAAAGCTTCCTTCTAGAGCAACTCCTCTGTTGTTTGACCCATTTGGTTCCGTAACATTTCCCAGCTGTTTAGTCAATTAACAAATATTTATGCTATACTAGAACTATACTAAGTGTTGTGTGGCTAGGAGAAAAGGAGACATAATTTCCATCCTTGAGAAGCTTATAGCATTATTGGGAAGATAACACTTAACAGACCGTTAATGATCAAGTGCCAAATGATGCACTGCAAATTTTAAGTGCATAGGTGTCAAGATGAGAGAGATCACTAATTTACTTATGTTCTCCAGTATCCTTGCTCAAGTGGTCTTCAGTTTTCCTCACAGACCCCTTTCACTGCTTGGCCACTACTGGTCATTGCTTCTTTCTTAAATCTCTATTTCCTGGACATACTTTCACTTTTGCATCTGTTACATTTGTTCATGTCATTCCGCCCTGGCCTTCCTCTGCACATCTGCCTACTGCAGTCGTCTTTTCCATAAAATCTCTGTTACTCCAACTGTATTAGCTAGAAGTGATGTCTCCTCTCACTGAACTCTTACAATGATGCTTTTTTTTTTATATGGCATCTGTGCGTCATGTACCACATACTGCTTTGAATTGTCATTAATCTGTGTACATGCCATGTCTCCCCTGTTGGATATAAAGTCTGAGAAGACAATCTGTTATATTACTGGATAATCAAGGAGACCCTTCAGTAAGTTGGGTACACAGTAGACATTCAGTAAATTTGAATGAATAAAAGCCTTGCTTGTCCTTTTACCACCCCAAAGGTATATGAAATGAGAACAACTTGATTTATTCATTAGGTGTATGTGCTTGAAAAAGCCATGCTAAGACAGAGTGTTTAAGAAAATACTTTAGGATATTGGTGTATGAGTTCTGGATTTATACTTTCCTCCCAGCACAGAGTTGAATCTGTGGTTTTGTTCTAGCTAGTCGAAGTGGCTGCTCAGGTGCCCCTGCCATCTGATGATGGACTGAATATTAACCTGTTCCAGAGGGACAGTCTGTAGTTACTACAGCTGATGTTGATAGTTTGATTAGTACCTGTTAGTGTTGATGAAATACTTTCATGGAAATCGTACCATTACTCTCAGTATCTCTGAGGTGAATAATGTCCCACTTCATAAATGAAGAAACCAAGGCTTGGGCTCACCGATTTGCCAAAGTTGTATATGGTATTAAGAAGTAGAGGGGCTATCTTAATCCAGGTCTTCTATCTTGGCTGGTCTTATTTTTACATAGTATGTAGTCTTAACTCTGGAGTCAGACCATCAGTTTAACTAAGTACAGGGCCCAAGAATGGATTCTACTTTACGCACAGGGCTGGAAGGGAGGAGAACAGCTAGAAAAGAAGTTCAATTTATTTCCCATATTTGTGCCTTTACTTCCAAAAGACTGGATAGAATCTCTTCTCTCCCCAGATTATGAAATATGCAGAGCAGAGGATTCCAACGTTGAATGAGTACTGCGTGGTGTGTGATGAACAGCATGTCTTCCAGAATGGGTCCATGCTCAAGGTATGTGCTTTATTCTGTGACCTCTCCTTGGACCCTTAGCCAAGTCCCTTTCATTCCTCATCTCCTTTCTTCCGTTCTTCCTTGGGCTTTGATAAAGGCAGAATGCCATTCACATTCCACAAGACTCTAGAAATAATTGTTTGTTTCAAAAAACAAATTGGAACAGTGCTGTTTGGAAAGATGAGATATGTGAATATTTTTGAAGATATAAGTCTTATCCAACATTTAAAAACAGGGGTCAGATATTGACCCAGATGACTGGATGTGATGCTGTCCTCACGGGCTCCAAGTCTAGGTGGGTAGATAGACACTTCCCTGTAAGTATGTAGAAGAGAGGAGTAGTGTTGGGAAACTCAGAAGAGAGAACATCTACCTGCCTATGAAGGTCGGGGAGTGCTTCATAGAGGTGACAGCATTACTTCTCAGACTTATCAATAAGGTATTTAAATTAAGATTTCCCTTATTTATAGTGTTCTTCTGACAGAGAGGGCCCCAAATTCCTACGCTGTCCTAGAGTAGTCTGAGGTCGAGACTGTTCCTCTCTCCCTACAACATTTTCTTAACTGCATACCCGCTACCACCGTCTGTTTGATATGTCCCTTCAGCCAGCCGTCTGTACTCGTGAGCTGTGTGTTTTCTCCTTCTACACACTGGGGGTCATGTCTGGAGCTGCAGAGGAGGTGGCCACTGGAGCAGAGGTATGGGAGAGGGGAAAGCTGCTGGGGTCAAGAGAGGCCAGGGGATCAAACAGTCTCACTCCTTGGAATTTAACCTCCAGAAATGCTTTCATATATAAGGATGTTCATGATAGTATTGTTTGTAATAGGCAAAAAATATCAGAAAACAAAACCAAATCTCCATCTGTAGGGGGTCCAGATAAAGAAGCAATGATATATCCTTATAGTAGAAATGCTATTACAGCTATTATTTATGGATGGAAAAATAACATACATAAAGAAGAAAATATGATAGTATGTATAATATACTTCTCCTTTTAATTGCCTATGTAATTAAATAACTGTTTCCATAGGAAAAATATCTGAAAGGATATACATAAAATTTAGCAATAGTTACCTATGAGGATTGAAATTTGTTTGGGGGCACATGGATGATTTTTATCTTTTCTTTAATCAATTTTTTAGTCTTTGTTACTTGAATGTGTATAATAAGCATGTATTTTCTAAAGAAAAAGCTGTAAACCTATGTGCATTTAAAAAAACAGTAGAGAGAAATGCTGAGAGACTCCAGAAGGTAGACCTATGCTAGATATTGGGTGACTCCCAGCACTGGGAAATCCCTTAGCTTCTGCCTCCTTTCTTTCCTTTCCCCTAAGGTGGTGGACCTCCTGGTGGCCATGTGTAGGGCAGCTTTGGAGTCCCCTAGAAAGAGCATCATCTTTGAGCCTTATCCGTCTGTGGTGGACCCCACTGATCCCAAGACTCTGGCCTTTAACCCTAAGGTATAGTTGCTGGGGAGGAAAGTCAGGGCTGAGGAACAGAAATGAAAAAAGATAGTGGGAGAGTATGGGCCATCATTCTAGTATACACAGCAGCCCGAAATGAGGGACAGAAGAAATGGAGCACTTGTTTCTTGGGAACTCTTGAACCCAAAGCTTTAGCCATTTTAATGAATAAATAACTGAGTTTGTCAGAAGAAAGGGAGAAGAATTCATATTAGTATGTCATGATAGGGGAAAATAAAAGCTTTGGAGCTGGACAGACCAGGATTCCATCTGTGGTTCTGCTGTTTTCTAACTGAATGGTGTTAGGCAAGTCACTCAACCTTTTTGAACCTCAATTTCCTTATTTGTAAAAGGGAGTAATATCTACATTGTGGATTGTTATAGAACTCAGAGGTGGTAAGTGAAAAGTACTGTAGTAGGGCTCTCCAGAGACACAGAACCAACAGGATAGATGTATTACAAAGATTTGGCTCATGCAGTTTGTAGGCCAAGAAGCCCCAGGATCTGCAGTTGGGGACCTAGAAGAGCAGCGGTGTACATTTCAGTCCAAAAAGCTGGCAGTCTCAAGATCCAAGAAGAGCCGATTCTTCAGATTTGGTCCAAAGGAAAAGACCAATGTCTTGGCTCCAAGCAGTCAGGCAGGAGGAATTCCCTCTTTCTTGGCCTTTCTATTCTAATCAGCCCTCCAACTGACTGAATGAAACCCACCTGAATTAGAGAAGACAATCTACTTTACTCAGTCTACCTATTTAAGGGTTAATCTCACCTAGTAGTACCCTCACAGACTTATTCAGAGTAATGTTTGACCACATGTTTGGGCACTTCATGGCCCAGTCAAATGGACACATTAAACCATTGACAAAATTAATCATCACAAGTACCTAGCACAGTGTCTCACTTTACCTTCATTGCTGTGGATTAGACACCATCCCAGGTTCTTTACATATATTATTTAATCCTCAGAACATCTCTTTGAGAGTAGTGGAATTTCAGTCTTCACTTACACACGGGAATACTAAGGTTCTAAGAGGTCAAGTGACTCACCCTGTCACTCCCAGCTGGCAGGAGAACTAGCAGGCAATTCCAGAACTGTCTGACATTAGATCTGTGCCCTCTCCATGACATGCTGCACTGTTTTCCTGGGGCCTAGACTTCTTTTGTATACCTGCCCGTCTTCTCATCACTTTTATCTATCTGTTTTTTTCTCCTCTTATTGGTTTCTGGCAGAAGAAGAATTATGAGCGACTTCAGAAAGCTCTGGATAGTGTGATGTCCATCCGGGAGATGACCCAGGTATTCTGCCCTCTGCCCCACTCAAGGGCCCTTTTCTGCTTGGAAATCATGAGAATGGAGTGAAGATTTAGAGCTGCTATGCAAATTCCTTACTGTATTTTCTTTAGTCTTCCCTCCTTAACCTTCCAGTCCTTATTTTCTGTTTTGTTAGCTATTACTCCTCTTTCTCAATCCTAATGTCTTTCAACCTTTACCTTTGCTGCTAATTCCTTCACAAGTTGTTCATATTTAATGTTTTTCCCATAATTCTTAGGGAATTAGAGAAATGAGGGAAGGACCTGTGCCCAGGGTTGGGAGGGTGTGGAGGGGAGCTCGGAGGTAAGGGACTAGGTGCAGGGGTCTACATCTTCTGTCCTTCTAGGGGTGGGGCGGCCGCATGGAGCAGTGACCATCTTTTGACTCAAGGCTGCCCCTCACCAGACTTCCCCACCCCTCGTCTGCAGTCTCTGCATGAATAGACATTCATTTGTACTCACATTTACAGGTGGGCCTCTTCTCAGCAAATCCTATATATCACAGTTCGGATTGACATATAAGATATGCCTGGGAGGGATGATTTACTTGTCAGAAGGACTCTGCTTTATGTAAAGTTTTACCATAGGATTCCTTAGCCTAATCATTCTGGGACATTGATTTTATTTATCTTTTTATTTACATCAACTTTTTAGGGCTGTAGGAATTGCATAAAATGAGGGAGACCCACCTGCATGTTGTTGTGTAAGCATCTGCAGTCATTTTCATATTTAATTATGAGTCTTCCCAACCTGACTGGGCTCCTTAAGGGTGGGAACCCCGTCTCCTCCTGCTTCAGTGCTTGCCTTGTCCTGGGTCCTAATAGTCTGTGGAAAGCGGGAGGGCTTCCACCTCTCCTAGGAGATAACTTTATGGCCGTTGTCTTACAGGGCTCATATCTGGAAATCAAGAAGCAGATGGACAAGCTGGATCCCCTGGCCCATCCTCTCCTGCAGTGGTACGGACAGAATGGTTTGTCCTTGCCAGGGTCAGGGGTAGCGGTGTGGTGCACAGGGCGTGTGTTAGATGTGGGGCCTACGTTTTCTTAGAGGTAGCTTCAGCACCCTTCCCCAGATGACAGATACTATGGCTGCCTTTTCTTGGGGTTTTATTGATACACATGGCCTTGACAAGAAATCAGATCCTACAAATTTTGACATGATGTCTCAAGTTCTCTGTAGGTGTTTTTGTTTCCCAGGAGGTTTTTTAAAAACACCTTGCTTGTAGGAATTAACATTGTTTATTTCAACTAAATTTTCTGTGCATCCAGAGAGCCCTGTCTCCCCCTTTCCCCCCTTTTCCCCCTTTCCCTGCCTCAGGACCTCTGTAGACAGTCCAGAGCCTTGAGGTACTATTATTATTCCCTTCTGGCAAGGATTCTGACCATTCTCTTCTGCCCTCCCTCCTTGATCTCGACTTCTGTTGTTTGCCTGACATAGCTTTCCTCTCTTCCTCATCAGCTTATAACATAAGCACTTCCTCAATGCAACATGCTTCCTTTCAGCATGAGGAAGGACCGGGCATAGACAACCCAGGATGGCATCACAAGGACATGGGTGAAACACAAAAAAACCCAAACTGTATCCACAACGTGAGATAATGCTCCTTGCGGAGCCCTCAGTGTCTTATGCCTTTATTCTCTCCTAGTCTTTTGAGTTCAGCCTACATATAGCCCAGTCTATCTTTGCATCCTCAGGAATTCTGTTCTAGTTTCTTCTGTTTCTTTTTCCAGCTCCAAAAAGTAACTTTCTCTTCATTCCTCCTCATCCCTAAGAGCCTTCAGGCTTCCCTTGGTCTCAGGCGGGATGGCATCTGAGCCCCAGTTCTAAGTTGGTAAATCCCAAGTATAAGTTGTCACCACCCTAATACAGACCCCTCCTTTCTAATTATGTTTTTTGTAGATGAATTCTGGATGTGCTCCTCCTTTTCTGTCCCTAGATGAGGCAGCCTACCTCCCACCTCCCACCTCCCACCTCCCACCCCTCTCTTTCTTTTATCCATTGTTTAGCTAGTTGGTCTCTGGCCAGTAGCTTCCCATTTACATTTTTATGGGTATCACCCACAGGAATATCCAGACAGTGACCTGGACATCTCACACAATTCAGACAGCCTGGAATCCTTGCTTATTCTCCCAGGGGCACAGCAAGGCTTCTGCTTTGTCTGGGATGGCCTAACCACACAGTTATTCTGTTCTTTCCTTTTTCTCTCTTTTGTCCTAGGATCATCTCTAGCAACAGGTCACACATTGTCAAACTACCTCTCAGCAGGGTAAGTGACCATTCTCCCTCTAAAGCCTTTAAACTTCTGGTGAGGGATAGGAATGGGCTCCAAACCAGCTAACCACATTGGCTCCGGACCTGCCTGGTTGGCTCTGTCCATTCACAGTAATCTTTGGGCCCAAGCGTAGTCCCCTTATTTGGAGTCAGTGCAAGCCTGATTTGCTCCTTATCCCCAACCTTTCCCTCCCTGATCTCCATTTTTTGCTGTTTTCCTGGCCCCACCCCCACCCTGGGCAGCAGCTGAAGTTCATGCACACCTCACACCAGTTCCTCCTGCTGAGCAGCCCTCCTGCCAAGGAGGCTCGGTTCCGGACCGCCAAGAAACTCTACGGCAGCACCTTTGCCTTCCAGTGAGGAGGGTGGGGACTGGGTGGGCAGGGCACGGGGGCCGTTCTTGAAACTTAGAACAAGGTTCAGGGGCCAACCTGCCGGGGAGTAGAGGAAGCCTGAAGGCTCTCAGGGATGGGGAGGGGTGGAGTGAAAGTTACTGTTTGGGGCTGGAAAAAGTAGCAGAAGAAACTACAGCAAACTTTCTGAGGATTCAATAATGCAGGGGACTGGGAGGGCAAGTTCACTTAGGTATATGGATTTGTGTTACTGATTGGTTGTCCGTCAACCAATCAGTCAACAAATATTTATTAAATGCTGTTGTGATAGGTGTTATAGAGGGTAAAAAGGTACATATGATACAATACAGTCTTTACTCTCAAGCTACTTATGATGTAGTTGAGGAAGAATGACATTTGCTTATAAAAAATATAGTTGAAGGATGAGATTGGAGAGGATAGATTTGAAAGCTACTTAGAAGGAAATGAACAATTTATGCCTAATTGTGGGAGGAGAGAGAAAGAATGATACTACAGGTTACTTAGAGGGAGTGGTGGTATTCTTTTCTTAAAGCTGTATCAGTTTGGGGTCATTAATTAATTTGTTGAGTTTGAGATGAATTTGTTTAATTGGAATAGCAGGAGAGTAGGCAATGACAATACTGAACCAGCAGTTGGGGATTTAGGATGGGACTAACTGAAGTGCAGAAGAGAGGATGGGGCTAGAAACTAAGATACAGGGGCTAACCACACCACACACACATCATACATGCTTGTGACTATCCATGTTCATATCCTTCACTAGGTGTATCTGTGTCCATCTTAGTGTCCTATGTGGGTGAGAATGGGTGGGAGTGGCAATCTGGGAAGTGCTCCTGGGAACCTCATACCGTGAGGAGACACGTATTCCACCCTGCTTTACAGTGGGTCCCACATTGAGAACTGGCATTCGATACTGCGCAATGGGCTGGTCAATGCATCCTACACCAAACTGCAGGTGAGGCTGTGCTGCTTCTCCCTTTTTCTCCACCCTACTCTGCCCTACTCAGTTTTGGGGAAGGCTGCTGTAGGGTAATTAGGTCTTTTGGCCTCAGAATCCTCAAATCTAGCTTGACATGGGGCTTCCCTTGGGAGGAAGAAGTTGGGCTGTATGTACAGAGCCCTTACTTAATGTATATATGACCCCAGGCTGTGGTAGTTTGGGAATGGGATTGTAGCTGTAGGCAGGAGTATGAATTGCTGACTGAAGCCACTATGCTGAATTAACCTCTTAGAGCTTTTTAATTATGTGACTATTCATCCAGATATTTGATACAGGAGCTTTATTTCTTTGTCCTGTGAGATTCCGAGGAATGGTTATTGTCCCTCCTCCTGGTTTCCTGTTCCATGGTTCCTTTATTTGGGAATCTGCATGTATCCCAGGGTTTGGGGACAGAAACCTGGATTCTGAAGGACTGACCCAGTGGCTCTGCTACTCCTTACTTTCCAAGGCGTCAGCATTTAATACGTCATAGGCAAAGGGGTTAACCTGCATCTGGTTTTCAGCCAATCAGCTTTTCAAGAATAGGGGTCTAGAGTTGCCTGAATGAGTAAGAAGGTAAATGGAGGGACAGAGGGCTGGGTCAGCCGTGTAGCTGCCTAATATATAGCCATGGGAGGGCCCAGGCTCATATTGCTCATCCTGGTGTTTCCCTGCAAGCTGCATGGAGCAGCCTATGGCAAAGGCATCTACCTGAGCCCCATCTCCAGTATTTCCTTTGGATACTCAGGTAAGAAATACTCTGTGGCCACCTTGACTCTACTTACATTGCATCTATTTTGTGAATACATGATTTATGCTGCCTCCCCCATTGTGGATACTTGGTCCATGTCAGCTCATGGATACCTACATAGTCTGTCTCTCTACTTAATCTCATGAGACATTTAGGTTCTTTAGGAGGTTAAGTCCAGTTACCTCTCTTTTCTGTTAGATTGTCCTCTTCTCACGGGGATAGTTTTATTCAGTTTAGGGGCTTGGCCCTGGTATTGGGGTAGGGAATAACTGGGAGATGAAACTAGGCTTTCTGAGACCACATTTTTGGTGTTGACAATAGTTTGTCATTGTAGATCATGTGTGTGCACACGCACTTGTGAGTTTATGTGTGAATGCACTTGAAGGCTTGGTCCCTTCCATTGGCTTACATTTCAGGAGACATTATTCTTCCTGTCAACCAACTCATAAAATGTAAACTGTCTGTAATTACACAGTATTATATTAGTCACACTGAATGCACGAGCAAGCTTTTTCATCCAAAAAGAAGGCATGAATGAGGTCCAGATTCTTGTTAGGAGATGAGTCTGGCTTTGTAATGCCGAGAAAACGAATCTGACCTAGGGCGCTCAGTGGGCCAGGTTCATGGCTTAGTTCCTTTTCAGTCTGCTTTTCTTCTTGTTCTACATAATCTCTGTATAAAGGACAGCCGCCATAAAGCTGCATGTCCACCATATGAAGGGGATAGTGCTAGATTCTTCAGAGATTATTATTTAGGATTCTCCAAGTCACTGTACTGGTATGAAGATAAAATGTAGGTCCAGAATCACAGAACTAAAAAAGTCTTAACAGCAGAATAAACCAAACAAAATAGAAGAAAAGAGGTAATTTAGGTAAGAACCAAAATCAAGGAAATAAAAACAGTTACAGTAGATAAGACTAAAAAGACTGAAAGATGATTCTTCAAAAAAACTTACCGGACAGTTACACCTAGTTAGATTAAGGACAAAAAGAGCACAACCACATAATACTATGAATGGAAAAGAGAGCGTAACTATAGATACAGCAACATTTAAAAAGCTAATGGGAGAATTCTGTCACCTTTATGCCAGTTATTTGAAAACTTTTACAAAATGGTTGAATTCCTAGAAAAATATAACTTAACAAAACTGATTCAAGAAGAAATAGTCTGAATAGCCATAAAAGTATAAAAGACATTGAAATGGTAGTTTAAAATTTTCCATAGACAAAACAAAAGAAAAACCCACCAGACACAGATAGTTTTACAAGTGAGTCTTAAACCACACTTCTAAGGAACAAATTCCAACTTCATATAGTCATCCAGAGAGTAGAAAAAGATGGAATTACAAAAAATGAAAGATTGGTAAGTTTGAATTTATTAAAACTAAAACTTCTTTTTATCAGAAGACACCTTAGGAAAGTGAAAAAAAAACACAACTAAAAACTGGGAGGAGACATTTGCAACACATATAACTGCACAAGGTTAGTAATACAAGTGTGTTTAAATAATTCTTACAAATAAAAAGACAACCCATTAGAAAAATAAGCAAATGACATTAGTAGGCATTTCACTGAAGAAATGACCAAAACATAAGAAAAAATGCTCAACTGTATAAATCAAGGAAATAAAATCAAGACCAAAATGATACCATTTAGTACCCTTGTGGACTGGCGAAAATTAGGAACTCTGATAATTCCTCTGATTTTGCTGGAGTTCATAGATCAGCAGGTTTTCTTTGTTTATGGGGATATAATTGTTACAACCACTTTGGAAAACAGTTGGTTGTTAAATTTCATAAAGTGGAAGATTGTGTCTCTCTGACACAGCATTTTCATTCTTGCATATGTGCAAAGGGATATACACAAATGTTCAAAGCAGTGTTGTTTATGACAGCAAATCTTGTAAACAGCCCAAACACTCATCATCAGGAGAATGAATAAATACATTTTAATATGTTCTCACAATGTTTATTATTCAGTAATGAAAATGAACAAACACAGTGGCATTCAATAACATGGAAAAATCTTAGTAGTAATAAATTGAGTTAAAAAAAGGCAAGCTCAGAAAACTACTAGAAGAAAAGAGATAATTTAGGTTTTTTATATTTTTCAAAAGCAAACAAAAGTAAGCATTATTTAGGTATGTGTGGTGCATGATAAAACTAAAGAAATTTCAGGATAGTGGTTACCTCCTGAAGAGAAGCAGGTAGTTCAGATAGGGTAGGAGCACGTAGTTAGATGTAAGTCACTGGCAATATTTTAATTCTTGGATTAAGTCCTTAGGTTGGATCTGTAGGTATTCGTTGTCTTATTAAATAAATGATAGTGTGTGTTATGAACCAAATATGATTAATTCACATGGGGTAGTGACCAATAAATATTGAATGTATGTTGTCTCCCCCATCATGGATACTTGGTCTGTGTCAGCTCACGAATACATACATATTCTTTGTGCCTGGGGTCCAAAGTGGGGGTAGGAGAATGGGGTAATCTTTCTAGCTTCTTTGTCTAGGTACCCCAATTTCTGTCTTTGTCCTGATAAAGCCTGAGCTTCTGTCTAATTAAGCTCTTATTATTTTGCAAGTAGTGAGATTCTCCTAACTCTCAGTGCCCACAAGTTTCTCCCTATTCTCTCCCTTTCTGCTCTCTCACTGACTTTTGTTTACCACTAAGTGCCTGAATACCTTTAGTTATCAGATGGAGCCAGAAATCTCCATTGACTTCTTATCTCATTGCATCACTTTACTGATTGCATAAAAACATCATATGACACCATGCATCTCTCTCTGCAAAGGTTGATTGATTATAGATACAAAATACCTTATGATTTTATTATTGGAGTTTTAGATCATCCCATCCATCTCTTCTTACTTTACAGTTAAGAAAGCGGGTACAGAGAGAACTTAAATGACTTCCTTGGAGTCACATACCTATGAATAGCAGAGCTAGGACTGGAATCCAGGTCTCTTAACTTCTAGGCCAGTGTTCTTATCATTGTATTAGACTGACAGGATAGGCTTTGCTTGAATGACTGAGTCTCAGGGGGCCCTATAGGTACGTGAGAGTCTCTGTAACAGTGAAATGTGTGCAAATGTCCAACTTAAACTGTAGTCACTCTAGCATTTGGCCAACTCTTGTCTTACTGTATGTTTCCTTCCACCCTATTCTGCTCTGGTTTTCCTCTGTTCTTCCTCGGGGTATCCTTAGCCAAGCGTCATTGGGTGCCCTCTGGGGAGAGGTGTAAATGGAGAGCATCCATTTTAATAGTGGAGACTCCAAATGTAGCCACAGATTAAAATGAGCACCAGTGAGAAAGGAGATGGTAAACTCCATCTGTTTGTTTAGCCCTGTTTAGACTTCTGATATACTCTGGACCCAAAACATCCAGGGATTTGTCTAATCACCATATTTTCAGAGTCTGGTCTTGGGAAACTGACAGAAGATCACTATAGAAATCACATTGTTCTTTCTTGTCCTTTGGGGTAGAACCTGAATAAGAATTTCACTCAGAATCTTGCCCTGAAGTACCCAGGCTGAGGTCATGCTTTTTGGATACAAAAGTAAGCTTGTTAAGGCTAGTGGAGAAGGTGGAAACAGATGGGTGCTGAGTATCCTGTAGGAGGAAGAAGTTAGCAGTTCAAGTCTTGAAGCTTTCATTGCCCTGAGTTTTGTTCAGGCCATGTATCTGTCCTGGGACTTTAGTGTGAGTACATGATGAATTGACAGCCTGAGCAGTGAAGAATGTTAGTCCAGTGATTATCATCGGCACCACTACACCGTGGCTATCACAAAACCAGGAACTGAAGGAGAGTAGAGTTGACAGAAAGTTTCAGGATGGAGTGGTGAGATAAAGGTCTGCTTTTGGCCTGCAATGATAGCATCATACCCCATTCTCATCCATCTCCTTCTCGGTCTTGTATACACACACAGACCCTTTCCCCTAACTGTGATAGGGCAGGGCCTATGGTAAAGCTGAACGCGATGAATTTCTAATCACAGGCCAAAAAGAGTTGGAAGTAGGGGCACTGTTTCATATTTAAATAAGAAAAATCTAGAATGTATAGATGCTATAAACAGGGCTATTCAGTGGGACGGGGGGTGAGGACGGTGGAGGATTTGTGGATTTAGATAGGGTGGAACTTAGAGGAAATTAGTACCACTTCTCAAGTCTGGGAAGACTTTCTGAAGGAAGTAGGATTCTTTTAAGTTTGTTGCCATTGTGGTTAATTTTGGAAAATTTTTCTTCACCTTAACTGCTGTGCTTTCTCTTCTCTTGAGTGACTCTGGTCATGGTGTTTTATCTGACTTTGAGACTGGAGGCGATCTGACTTGATCTGCTTGCTTCCTTTCCACTCACTTTACTCAGCCTGGCGTTCAGTCTGAGGTGTAGCTGTCACCACTCTTCCGGGCTCCTTGTTCCTGGCTCATGTCATGTGTCACTCCCCTGATGTTCTCAGAACAAACTCCAGTCGCTTTAACATGGTCTGCAAGGCCTGCTTGATCTGATCTCAGCTCACCTCTTCACAACATCTCTTGCTGCTCCTCTGCCATTGACTGTGCTCCACAGAAACTGAGGCGCATTGCTTTCTTCCCTCCAGGCCTTTCATGCCTTATTGTCTCTGCACAGGACATTTCTTCCCTCTTCATTTAACTAGTTCTTCCTAACCCTAAATTTTCAGCCTAGTTGTTACCAGGAAGCCTTCTTCAAACCCCTAGACTAGGCTAGTTCCCCTCCTCTGCTCACTCAGTGCCCTGTATTCTCCCCCTCACAACCCTTGCCATACTGTGTTGTAATTGCTTGTTCTTTCCCTGAATCTCCATCAGACTAAATTCTGTGATGGCAGATACCTTGTTTGTTTTATTCACCACTGTATCACCAAGTGTCTAGCTCAGTGCCTGGCACGCAGTAGGCACTTCAGGAAATAATTTGATCAAGGAATGGGTGAGTGAACTGGGTTTGTTGTTCTATGACAGGAATGGGAAAAGGACAGCACAGGATGCCCTCCAAGGATGAACTGGTCCAGAGATACAACAGGATGAATACCATCCCCCAGGTATTATGAGTTGGCTCTGTTCCGGTGAGGCGGAACCCTTGCCCTGGGCTAAGTTTAGGCTACAGAAATGGATGGGGAAACGATGGTTGTGGCAGTGGGTGGTTTAAAGATCATTTGAAGAAATTGGTTATGTTCTAACATGAACACACTTCCAGGCATTTGTAGCTTTAGTAATAAGTATAAAAGCAGGGACTGAGTTTAAATGCAGTGATATGAAAATATAAAGATGGAAGCTGTGGACTATGGAAAAGTAAAGTTTTGTTAGGGGGACGGGATCCCTGATCCCCATCCCTAACCATCACCAGCTACCCAGCCTTGCTAGGGAAAGCTGTATCAGCCCGTCTGGCTCTGCTTTCCTTCTCTTCCAGACCCGATCCATTCAGTCCAGGTTCCTGCAGAGTCGGAATCTAAACTGTATAGCACTTTGTGAAGGTAGGTAGCTCACCCAATCCATGTTTTTTGGGTCCCCAACCTTTATTTCAGGTGTAGCTTTGGCACATGATCCAGCCAAGGGTGATGTTGAAGCATCATGTCTTCCCTCCCCTGCCTGGACCCTGTAAACTTCAGCGTTATATCTATAACTTCTGGCCCCCTTCTTCCCAGTGATTACATCTAAGGACCTCCAGAAGCATGGGAACATCTGGGTGTGCCCTGTGTCCGACCATGTCTGCACACGGTTCTTCTTTGTGTAAGTCTAGGAGGGTACTTTGGGGATTACTCTGAGGAGTGAGGGTGGGAGTGTGATGGTGTGTGACTATGGGGCAAGTCTATTCCTGTTACCTGAGATTTGCCCCTGGCTATTTAAGGGGATGTGGCACTTTCCCCTTGGAGGATGGGAGTGGGTATAGATCAGAGTCGGCTTAGAGGAAACCAGATAACCTCAATCTCTTTCATCCTAAAGAGTAGCCAGAAAGGATTTTGACTTTTGGGATGTGATGGCCATACCTCTGAATACAGTTCCACTGATTGATATTATTCTGATATTGTTCTCCCACTTATGCTCACACTTGCCCTGTCTTTGGCAGATATGAGGATGGTCAGGTGGGCGATGCCAACATTAATACTCAGGACCCCAAGATACAGAAGGAAATCATGCGTGTGATCGGAACTCAGGTTTACACAAACTGAGGGGGCCCCAGCCCTCGTACCACCCCCGTTCCCCCAGGATCCATCTGCCCTCATCAAAGGGCTCAGGAGCAGCAGGCAAGGCTGCCCTGAGGAATCAAGGGGCCATTACCAAGGGCAGGAAAAGGATAGCAGAGGCGGCCTTCATGGTGGAGACTGACCCAGGAACCACTCCACATTTGGATGGCCCGGACTGACTCCGTACTCCTGGTTTTCCCAGTTGACTTCACCCTGTTTGTAAATAAAACAATAAACTGGAAGGTGCTGTGGACTGGATATGATCACTGTGGTCTGAACTAGCCTTGGCCCAGCACCTGCCCCCAGCCTCCTCATGGGGGTCGGGTGGAGAGAGTAGGATATCCTGACGGTTGGGGCTAATTATGTTGGATGGAGTCAACGCTGAGTCCGTTTAGTGTAGTGTGCTACAGATCTGTAAACATTTTTACCAGTGGATTAGCCAAAGAAGGGAAATTTACCAGTTATGCAGATGTCACACACTGAGGATTAGAATGCCATTGATGCCTGTTCCACAAGATTTAACAGGACTGCTGAGGCCAAGGTACCTTGGATTTCCTTCCCTCAGGACATCTGCTCTCTGCATAAAACCTAGCCTCTCCCTGTTATGGGCTGGGTCCCACTCTTCTCCTCCGAGGTATTTCTTTGGGGTAAGAGAGGTGAGAGGAGAGCTGGCAGGTGCAGGAAGTTGGGTTGGTCTCTAGATCTAAGGAAATGCAGTCTCCCTCAAAGAAACAAAACCCAAATTCTCCAAGTGAGCAAGGTGAGGGAAGACAGCTTTCGAGGAGACCTAATTGATTCAGTAAATCTACCTCCCTGTTGAAATTCCCACTGTCAACCTCCTGCTGGCCTTTCAGGCTGTACTTATGTACCCAAAACACTGAGTCTAATAGATTGGACATTGTGAAATATTTTATGAAATATTAATGAAGAAAAACAATATAAGCACAGAGAATACAGAAAGCATTAAACAAGCTTGACTTCTCAAGTACAGGTTTTTTTATTCTGTTATAGTTTCTTGATTTACAAAGCCTGCTGTAGACTGTTGTCACCCTACTTTGGAGATGACCTTCTTTGCTGTCGTGCATGAGGGTTTCAGCCCTGGGCAAGTTCATGATGGATTCAGTGAGACTTGAGAAATCAAAACGGAACGTTTTGGGGGTAAAAGGGTTTATACCTGGCTTTATTCTCCTGGTGGTAGGTCTAGCACTAGAATCATGTCTGCATCCAACAGTCTGCAGGCCCCTAATCCGCCTCTGCCTTGGCCCAGAGCGCTGGGCAGAGCTCTTCATACAGTGACTCAGTCAGTAATGGCTTATTGCCTACGGGTGTGGGAGCAGCAGCCTTAGCGCAGGCCAGTTCCATCATCAAGTGGTTTAGGGTCAGGTGAGGATCCCGGCCAGAGGAACTGCCATTTTCCCCACATTTGCCTGAGTTCCTGACCTGGCTTTGTGATTTCTGACCTGACTTAACATGAAAGTACCATTCTTAAGGTGTATTCCAGTAGAAGCTCTTCTTAAACTTACCCATTCTTGATCAAGACTACTATATTCAGACTCTACAAGTCTCCTAAGGCTCCTGCCTCATTCTAGTTTCAGGTCTAGGAGAAAAACCCCTTCACTACGTAAATGACCCAGTGAGCCTACCCTGAAATTCCTGCCTCCTGGGGAGAATGCTTGCAACACATCTGTATAAGCGAGAGCTAACATTTTTTTAGTTCTTACCAGGTAGGTGCCAGGCATTTTGCTAAGCACTTTAATAATCTACTAAACTGTGGCTTGCTTACTGAGTGCTTGGCATTGTTGTATGCTCTCTGCATGTACTAATAGAACTCTCACAACAAGCCTATGAAGTAGGTACCATTATTCCCATTTTATAGGTGAGAAAACAGGCACAGTGGATAAGTGATTTGCCCATATTTCACAGCTAGTGACTGACAGGTAACCTGACTTCAGAACTGCTGTTCCGGTTCTATGCTATATGGCCTTTCAAACTTTAAAAATATTTTTTTTGTTTAATCCTGACAACAAAGGTGGAAGACAGCTTTTCTTTAGAGATCTTAAAATAATGTGTCTACGTTCTCACAGTTGGTTAGTGGCAGTGCGGGGTTTTTAACAAAGACTCCCCAACTTGAGGACCTGAGCTCTAAACTATTTAAATTCCCTGGAGGTTCTCCAAACTGCTCCCACTGGTGTTCCAGCACCTGAACCTAGGTGCTTGGCTACAAAATGGTGTAACAACATTTTGCTCAATATTCAGAAACTGTTAGATTTTTCTCAGGTGTAAGCCTCTCTTAAAATTTTTCTTAATCACTGGCATCTGATACAGCAAGTGCTAGCAAATGATGGAATGAGAAGTAAAGAACAGGTAGTGTATGTTACTAGAAAAAGACCTAAGCTAGCCTCATGGACATCACTTTTATAGCATATTCATCATTATGCCTTTTTATGCCAGTAAAATTTAATGAAATTAAATACTCCATTTTATAGTGTTCCACATAAAAGCCCCAGGACTCTTTGAGAAGTTTGGCAGCCATACCTAATCATTATCTAAAAAAATTCAAAGCATGTGTAAAACAAATCTAATTAAAACCCATGGCATTCCTATAACACCACCCCTGCTTTCGTGGAGGGAAACTTGCAGGGTGGGGCCTTGAGTTTCTGGAAAGGATCCCCCCACAGCCTGGAGGGGGAGTTGAGGGAGCTGCCCCTTCCCCTGGTCCAAACCTGGCTACCTCAGAGGTGGGGAAGGGGGCCTGTGAAAGCCAGGCCTGAGGCGGAGATCATCGGACACAGAGGCCAGCTTATTACAGATGCGGCGGGCAGAAGCTGACAGACGCCTACCTTTCACATAGTCTTGGGCTCAAGCAGCCCTACTTCATTTAGACCTGCGCATGGTTAAGGACTATGGCCAGGAAAAGAATTACTTTCATCAGTTAATTCCAGGTGGAGAGTAGATGGCTGTGATTTCTGGTTAGAGAATTCAAAAACTCCAGTTTAACCTTCCCCTTCCCTCTCATGGTAATTTTCCATCCAGGCAGGGTGTGGCCGTGACTCAGTCTGTGGTGGGGATGGCCGTCCACAGGGGAGGAGCCATCTGCCTGATTCTGCCTTTCCGTCTGGGGAGAGAAGGAAGAGTGTGGCGCTGAGTCATAACGGTTACTTACCAGGTTCTCACAAGACGGATTCTGAGATGGAGGTTTGGAACATGTCTCAGCTTCTGGGACCAATTTGGGAATGGTGGGAAGGAAGCTTCATGGGTCACACAATTTCCCCCGAGCCCTCCTCCCCCAGAAGGGCTGGGAGTAAAGTAGGCTCCAGTTCACTTGAAGGAGCAACATTCTCTCTGTGGAGGATAGGATTTCCACAAATGCTTCAGAATCCCCTACAGTGGAGCCAAAGATGCCACCCTTTAAGTTAAAGCATTGCCACAGAAACGATTTATCTTGAGAAAGTCTCCTTAGTCCTGGCTGTCCTTCCCAGGATAAGTGGTTGGGTTAGTGGGTAGCCAGTGAGCATGAAACTGAGGACTGAAAGAATGGCACCAAGGAAGAAGCAGACTTTATGAAACAGGAGGACTTCCTGGGGAAGGGGACACTTGATCCATTGTTCACTGATGCCTTTCTTGGTCTTCCAAAGCTCAGTTACTTTTGGGGGTCAGAGTCTGCTTACCAATCCTACTCGCATCTTAGGAACCCTGAACTCTGGCTACATTTGTAGGTAGAATGAAAAGCACACAAGGGCCTCTAAGAGAGCAGCTTGGTGGATAGGATTGAGCCATCCTGAGGGTGCTCTGTCCTGGGAGCCCTAGCAGTTCTGGGCTAGCGACAGGGTGCTGAAGTCACTTCAGCTGACAGGGTCACCCGGCTCCGGCAGTACGTTCACTGGACTAAGCAAGCACTCCTCAGGCTTCTCCCCTCCTGATTGTTAAGTAGGGAGGAGGCATTTCCTCAGGAGGGGGGACCTAGATACACAGTTGCATTCAGAAAATATTCTTTACTGATCCTTTCCCCTGGAATGGCCTTCCCGTGTATCTCTATCCTGACCAACCCTCCGTGTCCTCTCTTCTTCCATAAAGTCTTCCCTTTCATACACAGACATCCTGTTCTCTCTTTATCTCTAACTTCAAAAGGCGAACCATCCCTTCCTTCCAGGATTTTTCTGGCGTGAAACTCTGGAGTTAAGATTTTCTACCACCTTGGTGGCCCTGAAGAGATCTTGAGAGTCTGGAGGATGGCACAGAATAAAGTAAAAAGCCTACGTGGTCTGCTCTGGAAAGGGTATATGGAGTGTGAAGTGAGGAGCTCTTCTGCTTTAAACGTGACGTTCAGGGCCTGTGGGCTGCCTTGGGAAGCTGCACTGGCCTGGGAGAAATAATGCTGCTCTTTCAGGTAGAGGCCAGGAGGTCACATAATGGTAAAGCCTATAATACAACCTCACCCTCTTCACCAGGGCCTAAGATTGTCTTTGGGCTTCAGGATTGGGTCCAGTATTATTTGCTGACACACCTATCCTGCCAGGGACTCCAAATGACCCATTAGAGTAAATCATTAAATTTCAGATTCATGGTTCTGTGGTTGAGAATCCAAACAACACAGCAGTCTATACCCTCACTCGCACTCCCGTGCAGTGGTCAATCTAGCAGCTCCCCTCCCACCCTGCAAAGTCCGTGAGCACAGTGGAAGGGCTGACTGGGGAGGGACCTGGCCTCTAGGGGAGTCTGTGTCCTCCCTCAGTTTCCCCCAGTTTTCTGTAGCCTTGGGGTTACTTACTGCCAGATCAAAGGAGTAAAGATTCAAGAAGATGGCTCAGAGAGAAGCAAACCAAGTTACCTGAATTCAGAACGATGTTCGGGCACTATCACAAGGACAGCCCTCCAGGGCTAATCAATTCCCAAAGCAAGAGGATGCTTACGGGGCACTGTGCTGTACTCACACGTACTGTGATCAAACCCCACCCTATGCAGCAGGAATTGTTTTCAAATTTAAGTATCTGGACTCTTACACATTAAACTACAGGATATAGCTGTAGGGCTAGTGAATAGAATTAAAACTAAGATATGATGGAACCTAAGCTTTCTTCTATATTATGCTACTTTTTGGCAAACCAATGATAATCATCTTAAACTCCATGTGATAGATTTTCACTATGTATTCTGTGTAAGCAAGGATACGCTGGATTAGTCTCTGCCAGTTTCTTGGACATCATTTTTATAGCTCTTGGATGATCAACATCTGTAAATGAAGGGCAGTAATTTGCCACTAGCTCTCTAGTTTAATACACGTGCACTTCAATCTTGGGAATGTATCTAGATTTAGGAGTTAGAATGCAAGATGGTCCAGCATTGGCCAGATTGCTGCCCACCTCTCCCATCCTCCAGTGTTATCCACCATTATCCTTAAGTTTGTCTTTAGCTCAGGGGCCAGAGAGGACCATTTATGTCATTCCTCTTTCTCTGGATCCAAAGGAATGTGATTTCTTCCTGCTGGGGCATGGTTTTTTTCCTCTCAACAACTTCATGTGCTCTCACCACTTCAGTAACCAAGCATTTACTTCCGTATCTACTGAAGTGACCAGAAAAGGCTTACAGGAGAAATTAAAAGATTGTATCTGAAGCAGAAATTTACTTTGAGGCTGTCACTCTCTCCTCCCAGCTTATATGAGGTAACAGGAAAATGCAATGAAGGCCTGTGATTCCGCTGCAGGCAGGTTGTCTGCCTGAGCAGGTCACACCCAATGTTCTCATTGTCCAGGAAAAGGAAAGAACGTTAAAGAATAGGTCTCACAAGTTTGAATGAAGCAATATTGTATCTGCTGTAAAAACTTGCCTGAATGCAGGAGTTAACAGCTGTTTCACTGATAATTGCAGTCATAACTGTTGGCTAATTACTGGGAAATTGGAAAATGCCATGGAGAAAAATAGTATAAACTCCAACAATACTGATTTAAAAACACAAGGTTGAAAACAGTAGCGCTGGCTCCTGTAGAGATTTACCGGCTCTCACATTCTGATTTCGTACTTCCTGATGGCCACTTCTGCACTAACATTAATATCTTCTTTTAAACTTTCTACTCCCAGGCACTCGCTCTGCAGGACCCCATCCCCTACTAAAGTATTCACGGCCCCAACTTAACCTTCCTTGTTCTAGACCTAAGAACAAAAGGGGCTGGCGCTCCGGCTCAGGCACACGCCGCCCTCCCTAGTCCTCCCTACTCCCGCCCAGTGCCAGAGCCCTTCGAGAAGGCGGCCCAGATCTCCGACCATCTCGGGGTCTCTCTCTCCCCACTTCCTGATTCCACGTTGGGCCCAGCTCCTGTTCGGCCCAGTCTCCAAGGTGTGCGTTGGAGCTGACACCCGGAGGGATGGGGAGACGCAAGGCGGGGCTGGGGGAATGCTGCCCCGGAACCCATAAATCTGGGCGCTGCCCGGTAGGCCAGGGCAGCTGGAGTGCCCTGTACGGAGGGTCAAGAAAAAAGCTCTCATGCTGCATTGCAAGTCGGGGGCAACAGGTGGCTCCGGCCCCCGGGGTTCACGGAGGGCGGCCTCCGGGATCGGAGGGCGGGCCCTGACGCCTCACCGCTTTCCCATTGGCCTTGACAGTGCGGCAACGGTGATCGTTTTATGTATCGTGTCCTTCCGCCACGATATGTAGTCCTCGGAAAACGGCGTTCTGACTACCCGTTACGACACTGCGGCGCTTCCTACTGAATGAAGGTGACTGCGCCCAGCCGGGACCCTGAGGGGCGGGGCCCGGCCAGCCGGGAGCCAGGATTGGGCGAGGGGCGGGGCGGCGGAGGGATCGCGGCGACCCTGCAGCCGGGATAACCTTGAGGCTGAGGCAGCGGAGTCCGGCACTGGAGCGGCGCGCTGCGAGCTGCGAAGCCTCTTGGTTAGTCTGCAGTGGCAGTGCAGCCGGAACCGGAGCACGCCGGAGGTGAGCGGGGCGAGGCTGAGCCGTCTGTCCCACCTGGGCTCCGGGCTCCCGGCTGGTGCGGCATCCATACCCGGGGTGGAGCAGCATTCTGGGCATTTGGACCCGCAAGGGTCTGGAGAGAGGAGAAAGTCTGTTCACGCTCGAGTCCCGCTCTTCAAAGCCCCCGGTTCCTGTTTCTCCCAAAGACAGATGGGTCAGCCATCCCCTTTCCTGCCCCAGTTCTTACGCCCTTTCTGGTCCCATCCTCGCCTCTCTCCTCGATCTGGCTCATCCTGGCCTTCCTTCCCATCCTAATCTGATCCCTTCCTCTTCTCCCTCCCCCCTCGGCTCCCACGCTCGCCGCCTCCCTTTGCCGCCTAATACCACGCCGTTTGCTCCCTCATTCTCGTGCGCTCCGTGTAACCTCGCCTTGAAACTCCTTCTCTGGCTCCCTCCTCCGCGCCTCCATTCAGGTTCCGTCCACTTTGCCCGCATCCGCGCCTCCTCTGCGTGCCTTCCCCTTCCCCCCTTCGCGCCCTGCCCCCTCCCTTCCCCGCCAGGCTGGTCACGTCCGCTCCTCCGCGTGCCTCTCTGCTCCCTCCTTTGCGCCGCGCGGGTCCCCCGCCCCCTCAGTCGTGGTCACGTCCGCCCTCCGCCCCATCCCCCGCCTCTGTGGTCTCCCATTGCAGTCCTGTCCCCTTCTCCATCACAGCGCCAGTCTCGGCTTTCCTGGAGCCTCGGACCCACGTCCCGGGGTCCCCGCCCGAATTGCAGAGGTCCGCGGATGGTCGGGGCTAGCGCCCTGCGGCCGGAGGTTGCAGCTGCGGTCCGGGGCGCAGCCAGAGAGTTATGTAACCCTTGGCCTTTCCGCCGCAGGGGAAGAAAGGGTGGCTGTTCTGTTGTGTGCCGCCCCGGATTCGATGCGTTAGCGGAGGCGCCGCGCTCCTCCCGAGGGGGCCGCAGAGCTCCATCCTGCCGCAGCAGGGCTGCACGTAGCGGCTGGCGCCGGGCGAGATCCGCAGCAGCGTGCGCGCAGAGGCCTCGTGGCATCGAGGCACTCCCGGGCTCCTCGCCTCTGCCTCACCTTGCTTGACCGATGCGGCCCGGATACGAGCAGGTTATGGAGGGAGTAGAGAGGAGGCAGGAGTTTGGTGCCACGTACTGCGTTCATTCAGTAAAAACTAAGAGCTGGTTTTGGGAGGAGGGGGTGAAGACCAGGATGACGAATGGTCATAGCCCACGGAGCTCTCGATCTAATTAGGGAATGAAACATAGACGTCGTCGCTGGCAATGCTGTGAGGAAGATTAGCGCTTCCTGCCGCGCGGGGCTGGGGGCTGGGGGGGGGGCGGCGATGGGACAGACAGGAAGCCTCACAAGGTGGCATGACAGGGTTTGAAGGAACAGGAAAGCCCCTTGCAGTCTGGAGGTTTTTTAAAGGCCCAGTCATGGAAGGGCATGCCTTGGCTTCTTATCTGTGTTCTTAAACTCAGGACATTGATCCGCCCCCATACAAGTGAGTCTGGTAGTTGAGATCCAGGTGTGAGGGACAGAAGCATTGGGGAACAGGTTTTTTAGAATCAGGTTTGACTTGTTAACTAACGTTAACTGACAGAATGATGGAGGAAATTCAGCCTAAGGACCTCAGTTTCCCATGTGTAAACTGGGAGTAACATTTTCCTCATGATTGTTGAAAGGATGGGTCACAGTACAACATGTGTATCATATACGCACATCTTATCTATCTATACACACAGATATGTTGAATACTCAGTGCAGAGTCTATAATCTCTGGTGAAATGTCTAGATGAAGTGCCTCCAAAACGTGTTCTTTTGGTCACTGAGCACAGTTAATTTAATCCGTAATTGACCCCGAGCGCTCCTCTTCTCCAGGTCATCCCTAAACACGTGTTCATCGTTAATCTTCGGGAGTCAGGCTCTCCTAACTGCAAGCCATCGCCTGGAAACCAATCCCCTGGGGGATGCCGGTCCGGTGTTTACAGAGTAACTGATAATGTTACTCTAACTCTCTGCTTGAAATAGGGGCTCTTTGGTCTCTTGAAGATGGGGACCTCTAGACAAGAGAAGCAAGGGGATGACTTCAGCCTTGGGTGTTAGGCTGTAAGAGCAGAAACAGATCTCCCACACCAAGACTGAAATCTTGACATCTCCGCCCACTCCAGGTGGGGTTCTAGCATTTGCTCAGCAGGCTCTTAAGTGTGATATAGGATTGGAGGCAGGGGGCAGGTGCCCTTGTTGGCAGTACGGGTGTGGCCACTCCCTAGGATACAGAGGGTGGCCTGGGTCAGGATTGTTAGCAAATAATTTGCCCTCTGGTTATCTGAGGATGCTCTTGGAAAATGGGTTGGGGCTTTTCTGAGGGGTAGGGTATGTAACCCTTCACCAGGTCTTTGTGGGTGGGGGAGGCTGTCTGGGGAAGATGAGGACTGTCGACTTAAGTGCTTTTGAGAGAATTATCTTCGTTGGGTGAGTGGGAAACTGAACTGTGGTCTTCGCAGGTTTAAAAAGTCCCCTTTCCCTTTCAGTGAGTCAGATAGTGACGCATGCATTTCCCCAGTTAAAAATGGTTGGCCCAGGTTCCCAGGCTCTGTATAATGCTCCAAGAGCTTAAGTACAGCGTGGCAGAGCCCCAACCAAGCCCAGGTAATACAGTCTGTATACACTTTCCTGAGCCCTTTGCTGAGTAAGGGCTGTAGCAGACATGAACAATGACTTATAGGATGTCCTTGAACTCATTTCTGAGTAACTGGCCTTGAGCCAAAATACATGGACATTAGTCTCTTCCTGTCTGGTACAGTTGAATTTAAGGTACAGCCCTCGTTTTAAGCACTGCATTAGAAGTAAAAAATTTTAGTGTTGAGTTCATAGTTTTAACAAAAAGCATTGTTGGATCTTTAAGAATTGCGCCTCCAGTGACTTAGCAAATTTAGTAGCTGTGACTTCAAGCAGAAGTCCCCTAACACTTTGTGTTGTTTTTCTGCCTTGAATATTGTGACATTAATGTGGGGTCACAGGAAAAGCCATTTTATTTCTAAAAGCTCTTTATTTCTTAATATTGAGGCAGTGGAAGAAATGAGGAAATGGCTGTGAGCGGAAAGGTAGAAAAAATGTAACTCTTGCATTACAAATTCACTACATGGGTTTTAAGTTACTTTGCTTCAGCTTTTATGAAGACATGTCAGGATGTGTTATGTTGGCCAAGAGCTAAAACTGAGATTAAGGTAGCGGAAAATGACTCATTTGGCATGATCTTTATTTCTGAGTCACTCCAGATATCTGCAGTCAAATCCCTATTAATTGGTACACCTCAAGAATGAGTTGCCCATGTTAACAGAGTTTTCTTGCAGCCTTGTTGAGGAGCTTGTGAAATGTGTAAGCGATTTGTTTGGCAGAAGGTCTTACAAAACCTTGACTCATCATTTTAAGCATCAATTCTGGTACACATAGAAAAAGAACTAAATGAAAACCATTCTTACTACCACCGTACTTTCTGGGAACTTGCATTTTTTAAACAAGAGCCAACCTTAGACTAGGTAAATGAATAGTCTGATTATTTGAGGCTTTGTTAAAGAAGCTGTCTTGGGGAAGGTGAGCCATGGTGGCTGGTGGTGTGCAGCCTCTGCTGGGCCTTTTGGCCGCCTAGTATACCTGCCCAGCTCAGGCGGGAGGTTGGCAGAGCCACCAAGCGGTGAGGTCCCGCCCTTGCAGCGGTTTGTGCCTGTCTGCACGTAGGAGGGAGAGCCAGGCTGCAGTACCTCTGGTGGCCTCTGAGACTAACCTCCCCAACTTCTGTCTGTAGGCAAAGCTCCTGGGGCGTTGTAAGCCCCTTTCCTGAGGCCCGCAAGCTGTGTTTGGAAGTTAGGCAGGGGCTGTGGTAGGGGAGGTGCCAGGGCCAGCATTGACAGGACAGTGAGGTTGCTGGTCATAGCATTGCAGAGTAGGGGCCAGCTTCAGTGGATGGAGCCACAAAAAAATTCTCTGAGAAAAGCCCTGTCTCTTCCAAACATTTTTAATCAACTTAAGGATAATAATTATTTTGACAGCTGATATCTCTTCTTATCTCTGATGATGCATGCAGACCAATTGTCAGTCAGCTGAATCAGCCATGGTGTATGAGGGAAAAACCATGTGTCTTTTGAAGGAACCCTGGGAGTTTTGATCTAGTTAAGAGATAGGGAAATAGGGACTTTTGATACCCAATATCCATCTTTTGTTAATTACATTAGAGAGCAGATGAACAAATGTCACCTGTCAGATGGGCAGACATTTTAAAAGTCTGACAGCAAGTGTTGGCAAAGGTGTGGGAAGACAAAAACTCATATTACTGGTAGGTTGTAAATGGATAAAACCACTTTGGAGAACAGTTCAGTATTTAGTAAAAGAAACCTGTGATTCAGGAATTCCATTTCTGGATATACAGAATCTCATGCTGCACAGAACTACTTAGAAGATAGTTATAGTATGTGTTGATTAATAGGGAAAATAAACCTGTGCAGTGAACTAGTATAGTAGTTCATGTGAATTAACTGGATTTATATACCAACTGGATAGGTCTTAAATGTGCTGAAAAAGCAAGTTGTTTTGTACAACTTAGAGCATTTTAGAAAACAGTATCATTGGGTTCAATAACCATATTATGTGTCATATGATATCACACTTAAATGACCTAGAAGGAGACAAAATTCATGGTGGTGGTTGGGTATCAAAGTTTATGCTGAAGGGTTGGAGGGGTCAATGGATGGAGGAAAGATGAGCTGTGCAAAATTGCAATTAAAAAAAAAGCTAAAAATCTGGCCAAATGTTAGTGGTCATTTCTGGGTGGTAGTAATACAGATGTTAATGTTTCTCTCTTTTTATTTAGTTCAAAACAAACAAAAGAGAAGCAACCCTATGAAGGTCTCTGTAGGAAGACCAGCCATGCTCAGTAGGTCCTTGTCCTGGGAGAGCCGGCACTGCCCTTCCCCCTTCTGTCCCCCTTCCCTCTCCATGCCTCTCCTGTGGT